TTACTATCTTTTAACATAAGATCACTGACAGCCTCTGCCTGATTAGACAAAGCAGTTTTTAACCTTACATTTTCTATTTTAATTTCGGAAATTTCTGCTTTAATTTCTGAGTTGTTTTGAGATAGTTCATTGATTTTTGATATCAAATATTCAATTTTCTCTGAACAAGGGCAGATATGGTTGACAATTGAGTTGGTGTCGTAAGCTACCGAATTGTCTGTGTTGTTACTCACGTTACTTTCAGCGACGGAGCATATATCACACTTCCAATCAATTTGAGAACAATTTCCCACAAAGTTTGATTTTGATAAACTGGTACAATTTAAATGAAACATATATTTACATTCACCACTACATTGGATTTTGTCAGATTTTAAATTAATGATTTTGTTACATGAGCCACATTTTAGTGACTTGTTTCTTGGCGGAGCCATCTTGTAGCTTTACTTTAGCTTTACTTAATACAGACCAACCATGTTTGTTTCCAATCATAGAAATTTAGCTAGTGTGCCGTGCGCGTCACTTTTATATTTACATACTCAGCAGGCTCCCAACACCAATGTTGGCCATTTAGCTTCCGAGCTCATTTGCAAACCATGGGAAGAAATCTTTGTGGACCACATAGGCCCTCTGCCTAGATCATCTAAGGGCAACAAGTATATTCTCACTATTGTGGATGCATTTTCTAAGTTTGTTATTATGTTACCCGCAAGGAACACCCAGGCATCAACTTCAATATCCCTTCTCACAAAGCATGTTTTTTCAATATTTGGCCCACCTAAATACCTAGTTTCTGATAATGTTTTCATCTTCAGGTCCAAGGTATTTCAGGAACTATGTTTAGGACTGGGAATACAACACATTTATACCAGCCCATATTATCCCAACCCCTCACACGCTGAAAGGGTTAACAAGCAAATCAAGATAGCAATTAGAATCTTTCACAATAAATACCAACAGTTTTGGGATCAAAATCTCCACTGGTTTCAAATGGCCTTTAACTCCGCTGTGCATGAGTCCACTCAAAACTCCCCATCCCGCATTTTCCTTGGCAGAACCCTCTATCATCCCTTGGAACTCCAATGGAACCTTGACAAACTTGTCGATTCCCAGGGAACTACTCCTTCAACCCAAGACGACTGGGCAAGGGCAATTGAGAGCCTGCGCAAGGCAAGGGAAAGCAGGGAAAGGAAATACAATCAAAAACGAACACCCAACACTTTCAAATCAGGTGACTGGGTTATGTTTAGATTGAACCCGATTAGTAAGGCAGTCGACCACATAAACCAGAAACTTGTAATGGTCAAATTTTGTTAGGGGTAATATTTTTATTTTATACGCGATCGATTCGAGCGCGGCGATTACACCACGCCGGTAACAATGACTTGGTCAGCGTCTTACCTAGTTCGAGACTCGGCCGCTGCCACCTTGAAGCGCTGCCGTAGCGGTGGTGGGGAGGAGCCGAGGTCTGGAGACAGGGTAGAGGTTTTAGGACAGTCGGTGGCGAGCGCTTGTTCGCCAAACAACCCTCGAGCAGCCAGTGCGAGCGAACATAAAGTATCCGGACGAAGGCGTGCGAAACATAGAGACGAATAAGGAAGTATCGTGATACGTAAGTACACTGGTTATAGCTAGCGTATACGTTATACCCCTACTCGTAAATTACGGTTATCGTATAAATTACGTTATTTATAGAAAATCGTAATTTAACGACCGACGCTGCGAGTGTAGTGTCGTAGTCACCTACGCTTACTTTTAGTTATCCAAAGTGTTTTGTTTTATTTTAATCGAGAGTTTTTATTTATTTGCCTTAAAGCCAAGGAGAATTGGCATAGTCGCCTACTACGTTTTATTTTATTTTATTATTTACTTATCGCGAGTTAGCGTCGTTTTCTTTTAATTCCGAGAAGATTATTTTTAGTTTTATTTTGAGAAGGGAGACCTTTCGTTAAGCCTAGGAGCTGGCTCTTTATTTTATATCCTAATCATCGCCTAGTTAGCTATCAGCCCTAGTAGTTAACTTCGACTTGGCCTTGTCAGCGCGTCGCTGTGCTGACACCAAGTTATAGGAGTAACTATAGTCAGTGTATTCCTTAATAGCAACTCGTGTACGGTGCGTCGACGTGCCGAGGTACACAGTGTGTACTTGAGTACTAGCAGATCGGCGCGACAGTAACATCTACGAAGATCTAGAAGTGGTAAGCGAGCGACGAGGACTGTCAGCGAGACCCTGGACTACTCGAGCTGTCCGAGCAAATCGGAGGTAAGTTTACGATAGGTGCCCTACCCGACATAAACACCTCACAAAGTGGCGCCTCCGAACAGGGACATTGAATTTCCGTTATTATCGTAATATTCATACGTGCTTCACGTATTGGCGCCCGAACGGTAAAATCGATATCGTAGTGGTTTTTTCTTTTGAATATAAGAAAAAGCGAAAATGGTAGGATCGAGTGTTAGCGTGAAAACTACGCCTAAAACGGTCAAAGCGGTGACTGAATCGACCACGACAACCACGACTACGAGTGCCGGGTCTTTACAAGCTCAAGTAGCACAAACTATTTCACAACCAATTGTGCCAGCGACTTTAAGTTTTTCCACTACGACCGCAGAGGCTACTCAGCCTCAAGTAGGTACAACTACGTCACAGTTAATGGTACCATCGACTTTAAACTTACTTACTACGACTGATCGTACGTTGACGTCTAAGAGTCCCTCAGAGGATGACCCGCGAATTGGGTGGATTCATACGTTAACCAAGGATGAACTTCGTTACGAAATGAGTCGATACGGTTTGCCTAATATGGGGACAGTCGAGGAACTTCGAAAACCGTTTTGTAAATTTTGGAAACATGGCATTCCCCAAGCAGTGTACGGCAAGGACGTGAATGTTAGCGTGGACGGTCTGCACTTCCACTCGGCTATGACACGGGATATGTCGACTCGCGACCTGGTAACAGTGACATACGAAGTGTGGAACTAGACAGAGTACGTGAGATCGTTGGTTTGCCTCCAGGAACGAACTTTGAGGACGTTTGTCGTTCGTTATCAAGCCTAACGATGCGCGCTGATAAGACCAACAATCAGGCTAGTAATTATCCAGTCAATGTAACACAATCCGATCGTTTTACGAATTCCGAGGGGTTAGTGTATAGTACACTAACCAGACCATGTGTTAACTATGCTTTCGACACCTCCTACTCTACAGATTCGATTCATCGACCTACGGTGTCCGGTACCGGTCTGCGACCGTACGGTGTATTCGCAAGCGAACAACTAGGTATTCCTACACAGGCAAGCGTGAATCACGGATTCAGTAGTGGTTTGCCTTCGTGTCACGAAAATTCGAACGTAATTCGTAAGGTTGGTGTTGATGTCTCGGCGTTGTGCAATTTAGTCCGAAAGTGGAACGTTCGTTTTGACGGCTCTAAAGACCCCGTTTCTTTCTTGGAACGCTTGGAAGAGCTTATGGAGGCCTACGAAATTAATAAGAACGATATTATACGAGCACTCCCCGAACTACTACATAGTAATGCACTGTTGTGGTATCGAAACTATAAAGACTCCTGGCACAATTATGAGTCCTTTAGATCGAGTTTCGAGCTACAATTCTTACCACCGGGATACCAGCGAAATCTAGACGAAGAAATTCGGCGTCGGACTCAAGGTGACTACGAAGCTTTTAGGAACTTTGTTGTGGCTTTAACTACTCTCATGCGACGCAAGGGAACCCTCAGTCTCCACGAACAACTGAATATTTTGTATACAAATATGAGACCCGAATATAAGTTGACGATGAGGAGACACGACTTTTTCTCGGTCGACGAAATGCTCAGACAAGCGGAACATTGATTGATTGATTGATTGATAATTGATAACACGTTGAGAGCTATTTTAGGGAAAAATCTCCGTCCCCCTCCCCCTCCGTCGGTAGCGTTGGTCCCCGAAACGGCTTATCACCCGAGACGAGGACGCGATAATAAATCAGGAGATAATTTCGGAGTTTCGACGATTGGCGAGTGTCAGTCATCGAACGGCGTGTCGGGACGATTAACCGAGAAGCGCGTAGGCTTCCGGTCAGAGGCCAGACCACGTAGGTCACGAGAGAACTCTCCGAACCCCCGGACGGGTAATTTTTCGAGGACCTCGTCATCTACGAGCCCATGACGTCACTCGGAGCGTGAGCGCGAAGGTTCACCCCGAGAGAACAATACAGTTTCGCGATTGCCCGATAATGTGCGTAGGCCTTGGAGATGGAAAGGCGGGTTATGAAGTAGGGTTGCTGATTGAAAATCATAATGTGACCATGGAGCTCGATACAGGCAGCGCCCTTACGGTCTGCCCCTTTGAGTCGTATCGGAAATATTTTTCACATCTGGCTTTAAAGCCTTGTTATGTAAAACTACTTACCTATTCAGGAAATGAAGTAAGTGTGTTGGGACAGATTTTGGTTAGAGTAAAAGCGGCCAACCAAATTTATCAGAACTTGCCGTTAGTTATTGTAGAGTTAGGCCAAACGGGTCAACCAATGTTGCTAGGTAGAAACTGGCTTGAACATGTAACCTTAGACTGGAAGTCTACATTTTCTCAAGATAAAACTGTAAACCGCTCCGACGAGCACGTTTTTAATAGGCCTAGCCTAAACTCTATTGACAAGTTACCTAACCTAACTTCACTTCAATCAGCTGACTCGGTTCAGCCTAGGGCCAAGGAAGATGTTAAGCATTTAAGGCAAAAGTTTTCTTCTGTGTTTGAAGGAAAATTAGGTTCAATCAAGGGTGTGAAGACACATATAATTTTGAAAGATGGAGCTGTACCGAAGTTCTGCAAATTTCGTCCAGTGCCGTTCGCTCTTCGCAAACAAGTGGAAGAGGAAATAGACAAGATGGTGGATGATGGAATTGCTTATCCTGTTTTGAGTTCCGACTGGGCAACCCCACTGGTTGTTGTGCCTAAGCCTACAGGAGTTAGGCTATGCGGGGACTTTAAGGTAACGTTAAACCAAGTTATCCAAACTGAACACTATCCTTTACCTCAACCCGAGGATATTTTTGCTTCATTATCTGGTTGTTCTGTGTTCTCTGTTATTGATTTACAGACAGCCTATCTTCAACTGGAGGTCGCTGAGGATTCACAGGAGTTGTTAACCTTGGCAACACATAAAGGATTATTTCGTCTTACTCGTTTGCCATATGGCCTATCCAGTGCACCTGCTTTGTTTCAGGCAGCTATTGATGAGATAATTAAAAATCTTCCCGGTACGGTAGCGTACCTTGATGATGTCTTGATTGGCGGACATTCATACCCTGAAGCAGTGTCTAGGTTGGAGCAAGTTCTTCAACGCTTCCAAGAATACGGAGTGAAGGTTAACGATAGTAAATGCAAATTTTTACAACCTGTTGTAGACTATTTAGGTTATAGGTTGTCGGCTGAAGGTATAAGTCCACGAGAAGGGCTAGTGGAAGCCATCAAGGATGCCCCGGAACCAGCAAGTAAGGAGGAGTTGAGATCATATATAGGACTCATTAATTACTATGGTAGATTTATTTCCAATCTCTCTGATAAGCTGAACTGTTTCTATGAGTTGTTGAAAAAGGATGTTCCTTTTGTTTGGTCTAGGAAATGTGCTGAAACTTTTAAACAGAGTAAACACTGGGTGTTATCTTCTGATATTCTTGTACATTATGATGTCAATAAGCCACTAGTGCTTACATGTGATGCAAGCCCTCGAGGCGTGGGGGCGGTGTTGTCCCATTTGATTGATGGCGAAGAGAGGCCTATTGCTTTCGCCTCTAAAACTCTAAGTCAAAGTGAGAAAAATTATTCTCAGCTTCATAGGGAAGCTCTAGCATTAGTATTTGGTGCTAAGAAATTTCATAAGTATATTTACGGGAGAAAACATGTCATATTACAGAGTGACCACCAGCCGTTGGCTACTATCTTTGGCTCAAAGCGAGGAACCCCAAGCCTAGCCGCAGCGCGCCTACAGAGATGGGCCCTGATTTTGGCTTCGTATGACTTCGAAGTGAGATATCGCAAGGCGTCTGATGTGCCACATGCCGATGCCTTATCCCGGTTGCCGTTACCGGCAAGTGATTCACTGGAACTGGAAAACAACTTTATCTCGCACACTCAGGAATGCGTGGAGGTACTAAACTGCTTCAGCACGGTGAGTACCGAATCACCTATCACTTCTAAGGAAATTGCTAAATTCACTGGTACTGATCCTATATTATCTAAAGTAAGAGATTATGTTTGGCACGGCTGGCATGGCGCTGTGGATAAAGAGTTATTGCCTTATGTAAAAAGGAAAGATGAACTTTCTGTGGATAGTAATTGTCTTCTGTGGGGGGCCCGTGTGGTCATTCCGACAAAATTGAGGAATCAAGTTTTAGAATTGCTTCATGATCAACATCCAGGCATTACACGGATGAAGCTGTTATCACGTAGCTATGTGTGGTGGCCCGGTATAGAACAAGGTATTGAAGAAACAGTGTCTTCTTGCTATATTTGTCAGTGTACGAGGAATGCAGCTCCAAAAGTCCCTCTCCAACAGTGGCCCCGTGTGTAGGGCAGATGGCAACGGGTGCACATAGATTTCGCTGAAGATACTAATTCTAGGCAACAAATGTTAGTACTAGTAGACAGTTTTTCCAAGTGGATCGAGGTGTTTGTTATGAAATCTACTAGTTCTCTCAAGACCATTGAGCGTCTCCGTTCACTTTTTGCATCGTATGGGCTTCCGGACACTCTAGTATCTGATAATGGCCCTTCTTTTACAAGTTTTGAGTTCAAAGAATTCTTAAAGAAGAATGGAGTAAGGTTTGTCTTATCACCTCCTTATCATCCTGCGTCAAATGGTGCGGCCGAGCGGTGCGTTCAAGAAGTGAAGAAGAACCTGTTGAGACAGGTGTTGAGTGAAGGTGGTACTGGTTCTCTGACTTTGCAACATAAACTTGATAACTTCCTAATGACATACAGAAATACACCTAACACTGTAACAGGACTTACCCCGGCAGAATTGTTTCTCAACTGGAAACCAAAAACTAGGCTTGCACTTCTCAAACCTAACCTCAACGCTCGTATTGACACGAACCTGGACAGACAGAAGGAGAGTTCGGATAGGCATAGGGGAAGGGCAAGATCCTATGAAGTTGGAGAGAAAGTGTTCGTCAAAACTGTCAGGCAGGAGAAAATTGATTGGGTACCTGGAAAAGTTCTGGAAGTAAAAAGTTCTGTAATATATCTTGTTAGTGTATTGGGAAAAGTTAGGCGTTGCCATGCTGACCACCTCAGGTCTAGAGTGAACATGGAAGAGGAGGGGATAGCAGTGCCAAGTTGTGAGCCAAGGTCTCCCATGAAACCAGTACTTCCTGAGCGAGGGGAAACTTCAGAGGACAAGGAGAGGCAACAAGTTTCGCCCAGGCGGCAATCTCCATTGAAGGACTCTGAGACTGCAGCGGTCCAGCCAAGACATGAAGACTCACCTGCGGTAGTGCAGTGCAGCCCGCCCAATCTTAGAAGGTCAAAAAGGACAATACAAAAGCCTGAAAAGCTAGACCTTTAAGCTATTCAGGCAGAAGTGAGAAGAGTTTATTTTAGTTTTATGAGAAGAAATTTTAAGTTGGAATCAAGGTTTAATTAATAAAAATGAAAAAAAAGAAATTTTTATGAAGAGAAAGTTTTATGTTGGAAGAGTATGTTATTTGTGGTCTTACAGCAGTAGTGTGGGCCTAATCTAAATGGTGGCGAGTGTAATATAGTAGCAATAGGATCATATTAGATTATTAGTAACCGGAAACAGATTAAGTTACTGGGTGGCTGCACTGCCTACATCGGCGTGGAGCTCCCTGATTGGCTGCCGATCGGTCAAGGAGTTTTCCGTCTTGATGATCGTCACTTCAAGTCTAGCAAGGTGTGTAACTAGATGTCGCCATGTTGTCTTGTTCTTAATCTTAGTAGTTACTACTTCGTCTGAGACACATTAACTCACGGTATATAGGCTACTTGATCAATAGCGATATAGGCCTATTATCACAGTCACATTTTTTATGCATAGCCTATCAAATATATAGGCTCTATCACAGACGTTAAAATAAATAATAAGTATAGTTGTTCAGTTAAATAGATCAGGGGTAATAGTACTTGTTGTAATATGTAGTTCTACTTCATCAAATCCATTTCAATGCATCAAGCAAAAGAGCTGTAACCCCATGATTAACTTAGCCTAGGCTAGTCTAATAATATTTTAAGACATTTTTATTTTATGATATTAAAAACATTAGGCTACACTAAGCTAATGAAATCTTCCCAAACTTAGCCTACTCGGCTTTTAATTTTTGCTTCGATTTTGACTGCCCTACCCGTCAATGAGGTTAAGGGTATAAGTTAGGCCTAACCTATACAAAATCCTGCCTTAATCTGAATGGGAAAACATTATTATTTGCAGATGATACAACGATGCTGTCCAGAACCTTTAGGATTATTACAGTTGTTCGGCATTTGGATCATTGCCGGCCAATCTTAAAGGATCTTAAGCTACATTCTGTACCGATGGTAGTTAGTATAATTTGAAATCAACAAATAACAAAATCATATTATTTAACCATTGGCTAGACTAAGATTAAGAAAGAGTGTCCAGCAGTTTAAAAGTTTTAGTTTGTAGGGTTGGTAGTGGTGATTGATAACCCATTTCAAGTTTTGTCAATTGTCAGTTAAGTTCACTGGAAAAATGGTCATCTAAAATGTGGTTGCTGTAGAAATTGTAAGTAGTTTTAATATTGTTTAGTAATAAGATTTTAGGAGATTTATTGTATATAGCATTTGTAGAAATCATTTTTGGGAAAAGATGTAAAGTAAATAATAGTTTTCAAATCAATTTTTAATGCTTTTTACAAGAAAATAAAACAAGTAAAGTTTATACAGACCTGTCCAGTTTTGTTCTAGGAGAAGCACATTTTCACAAGGAGTTGTAAGGATCTTAAATCCACTTTTAATTATTAGAATTTGTAGAGAATAGTTTTTATTGGGTTTGTGTGATGTTTTCAGACAGAAATCAACCACATTGATATTGAGATTGACTTCTTGTTCACCTTCTTATGATTGGTCCAGTAGCTTTTGCACCACTTCTAGTTGCTTTGCATGGTATCTGCTAGTGCCAGTTCTGACCATTAAACCAGTGTCTCTGATTAAAGTAAGATCTTTCCACTATTTTATTATTTAGTAAAAGATTTGGGAGTAATAAGACCATAATGGATTTTATTTGGAAAGTGTATTTGGTGTAATTTGAGAACCATAAAATATATATGCATTTGGCCTACCTTGTCTTTTAATTTATCTCACTTCTACTACCAGCTTGAATTAGATTCATCCTAAATTGAAGTATACTACCTAATTGGCTACATGGTAGGGGTAGGCTATAGTTTCCATTCCTGCAAATTTGTGCCGGCACAAATCTCCAAATTTGTAGGAATGGAAACATCCTGGCTCAAGTCGCGGCACAAATTTGTGCCCGCTGACTGCGCGACAAAACATGTGCCCGGGCCGCGGGCACATGTGCCTGCAACTCGTGCATGCAGCAGGTCCTCCAAACTACCGCATGCTCATAAATGACAGGTAATCATAACCTCAAATTTCGTTGAGTCCGTTGGAGGAAATTTTCGAAGCCACTTTGTATGCGCAAATCTCTCATCAATTGATTAAATGCACCTTCCAATGCTCTTTTAGCCAAAAAACTTCTTATCCACTATCTAGGTAGTTTTCTTCTAAGTTCATTGTATGCACCAGCCATAAATAAAAAAGCAGAGGCTGTTATGTCATCCATGGTGATTTGTAGAACACAATATAATCAAAATCAGCCACCGAACCTCACCACATCACAATAAAAGAGAACACTGCCTTGTCTACCAGTTGTAGTGGCGGGACTTGTGCCTGGAATGGAAACGGCATGACAAACTACGTGCGACATGTGCCTCGTCATGGTCACGACATGTGCCTCGACTTGTGCCTGCGACTTGTAGGAATGGAAATGTAGCTTAAGGGTACTCACGGCGTAGTGCTTGATATCCTGACCCTAGAAAAGATGACGTGCAGGCAGTGGTGGATTTAGAACAGTCACAAGGGGGGGGGGACCAGGGTGTCTGAGAGGTTCGGGGGTACCCCCTCCCTCCCCAAAAATTTGTTTAAACTAAGTCTTCAAAAATGGCAGTTTTATACCATTTCTTTGTCCTAAGTTAGTGTGACAAATTATTTTACGCAATTTGTATGCACTACTGTATTAAATGCAGTCAAAAATATATGACATATATTTCCAAACTGCGACTGCCCCCCCCCCTCTGGATCCGCCACTGGGGTGCAGGAGTACTATACCAGAAGAGCACAAAATATAGACTTTTCCTGCTGTCGTCTCAAACATACCTAGAATAGCTATCCTCGTTCTACTATTAACTACAATTCATAACTGCCTACTCATTTGCAGGAGATGGATGCACCCTCCTTCAGAAGGCGCTGAAAGGAATACTAATTATAGGCCGCTGTACTCCGTAGAAGAACTTAAGGAAGAGCACCTAGTGAGATAAGTGTATGTCTGCCATATCATCCGTTAAACAGCCAGGTTTTTGAAGGTATAGTTTATTATAAATATTATATATAGAGTTATTTATTAAATCACTTAATAATTTACTAGCTTCTGTGCCCGTGCTTCGCAACGGGAAGATGAACTATACCGCCTAATCCAAACAGTTGTTAAGTAGTCCGAATTTATGAACAAAAGCCACCAAATGTTGGCCTACTGTATAAAAAAAATTATGACCAACATTGTAATTGCCCTACTGTTTACGTTAAAATATATCAATAACATAATATTCATTTTCATATTTGAGTTGTTTTGTCTCAAGATCAATGAACCAACTATAAAAGGTATCAAATTGCCTCAGTACTGCCAGATTGATCCTGTTTAGTCCTTATGGATTACGGGTTTTAAGGACTTAAGTCCTCATCATGAGATCTTGTACAAGAACATTTAACACTGTAACTTCGAAAGGGTCATCAAGAGTTTAAATGCGAAACACGGACATGTACTATTTACAGTCATAGACGTTTTATGAACAAAACGAGTAGGCTTACTGACAAAAACTTACAATGTCCAACCCCAACCTCGTGCGCACAGTTGCAGATGAGGGTCATGACTGCGATGCGGAAGATGGTTGGGCGGTGGACTTTGTACAGCTCGGCTCCTTGTTCATCAGCTGATCTTGTTTTTTTATTAGAGTATCATACAAAGCGTTAGACTGTAAACTGATTTTGTCGTTTAATAATGTGTTAGCTTGAATTTTGATTGTTTTTTAAATTTCAAATTCTTCTAAAGCATCCATTCCTGTATATTGCTTTTACAATCAAAATAAACTATGCCATGGCTCGGTCCCCAGGTACTTATTTCAATTCAGGAAATTAAAACCTTTACAACTATTATTCAACAAAAACTTCTTTGCACTAACTTGATCAGGGAAATATAGGCCTAGACAAAATATAAAAGGTTTAATTTACCTGTTGCTGATCCTGTTAAAACTGTTAACAAGGGCAGGCCAAGACCATAAAGCACTTCATCCAAAAATAAAATTATTGCGCACCCCATACAGTTGATTTCTTGAAGTTACAAGTTCAGGCGTCCGATAAAAGCATGTAGCTTCCCAATAAGATCCTCCTCAGGAAGATATCTACCTCTTGCCACATTAACAAGAGTTATTCTTCTAGCAAGAAGAATAACTCTTGGTAATGTGGCAAGAGGTTAACATGTGTCTTTAACAAGCAATGAAAGCCCCTTAAAGCTTGAGTTTGTGTCGCACGTTTGTAGGCGGAATAAACCAGTTAAAAACTTTTAGTTAAGGGTACCTATGGTAATTTATTGTAAAATAAGACCTTTTTATTTGAAACTACCAACTACATCAACCCGCATAATTTGGTACCCCCGAGTATTTTAAAATTGTGACTTTCTTTACCAAGATTAAAATGTTTGTTTCAGGAAGAAAGATGTAGCCCCAGCTCTGGACAAAAATATTATGGAGAAGGTTGGCCGCTGTACAGGGCAGCTATAGTTATTATTATATGTTGCCTTTTATTGTTATGTACTGTTTTTATACTTTACCAATAAACCTTATATTTATCTAGAGCAGTTAATTTTGTTAAAATTCTTACCAGTAAACTTCTCTGTAATTTGTAAAGAAAACATGTAAAAATGATTATATATTTTATTTTGATCTTCTAACTATTTTGACAGTTTTATAGATAAAATATTCTTTTTTTAGATAAATTTTTTTATTGTTCTTGTTCGTACATGTCTCAGATAACTATACATAAAGATAAAATGATATTTATATTTGTATCATATATGCGAGTGCCAATCTTAAGAAGCAAAGTTAATATATAGCTAGTAAAATAAAATAATGTTGGTGTTTAATGACTAATGAGTGTACTGTAAAATTGAAATAAGTAATTCAAAAGTTGAAACAAAAACTCTATTTAGCCAACCCAATAAAATCACTCAAGAATTTTCCTCTGAATAAATGTTTGAACTTCATAGTCTAGAGGTGTTAGAGTTAGGTTAATGAGATATAAGACTGCTTAAGGGTGTTGCTCAACATGTAATGAACAAAATTAAATTAAGAAAAACAACAAAAGTAAAGCAAAAGAAAACTTTGAAAAGGCAAAGATCAACAATAATAAGATAAATAAATGTACAACGTTATAATTTACAAGAAAAGAAAATCAATTAAAAAGTTAAAAGAATGAGTTACTGACAAACTATATGACTTGTTTGTTTTACAAAACTTTAGTTATATATTTTATTCTTTTTACATTTTGTTTATTGTCCCAGAAGCACATGCACCGATACACACACTCCGAAACTCTCGATCTTCTTGGTCCAGTGGCCCGTGGTGAACTCCTCGATTTGTTTCTTCAGCTCCGAGACTCCTCACCCCTCCATTTCCTTCATTAGCCCTTCTCATTGGCTGATTGGGTGTTTGACTTATAGGTTAACGATGTTTCTTGGAAGTCAGCCCTACCGATCATCGCCTAGCTCACGTCAGCTGTGAAAGGAATTTGTAAATCGATACTCATGCTACTGTTCAACTCTCTTCACACCATCTGGTCGACTATAGTCCTCGCCACCCTAAGTTGAGGCAGCCAAAGGCCGCACTAGATATACGCCGTGCGGCCTTGGGCTGCCTCAACTTAGGGTGGCGAGGACTATAAGTGTAATGTAAACAGAGTATCTGCTTAGATGAGCACCGTGGTTACGGGGTTAATCCCCTTTCTTACAATGTAAATCTATGTTGTAAACTTCTTGACATACGAGAACTACTTTAAGGACAATTTATACTACGCGTACGCTCATTCTTCCCGTATTGGGGGCCTAAGACATTGAAAAAGGCTGTGCTGGTAAAAGCGACCAGAATACACAGTAAGACCGAAGACCCTAGTTGTTGCCGCACATAAAAATTATACTGGATATATAGCAGGTATGGATACAAAAATCATGGATGCTCAAACAGTGTCTTGCACAGCAGATCATTTTGAGAATGCCAGAGGTCTTGGCACAGATGTGCTGAATGTCTGGCCCAAAGCCCAAACGCATATGGCGAGTCAATAAGAATCTGGGAAATAGTCAATATCCAGAGAATTTTGTTAATGCCAACAATTTTTAACTTATTCTTGGTGGAATCAACCATTATCTTTGGTCAGGTCTTAGCTAAGACATCATTAAGAGACTGAGACGGTGGTGTCATCCTGTAATTCAGCTACTAAGGAGGTCACGAAATGTGGATATTTATAGGCATGTACTGTGGATGTGATACTTCCTGGTTTGAATTAACGCCCTTACTAGTGAGTACTACGACTATCCGCAGTACTATCCTGATAATTAGACCAATTTTTTTATACCTACCAAGGAAAAATGTGGTTCGGATTCTACTATAAACTGTAGGTCCCAATAGTTTCCATTAGCCCAAAGTATGGGCTATTAATTGACAGCTGTGTCTAAGGAATATGTCAGCCTTAGTCACTAACAAGGATACAAAATCGTGCCACTCATCTCCATGCATACTGGTACTTGGCTTAAAATACCTACTTTGTATGGTTGCCATTTCAAATTAAAGTATTAAGCCTAAGGCAAAATGACTCTGACTCATAATCATAGAGGGAAGCAACTTTCCACAAACAGATTTATATCGTCAGCGAACTAAGCAGGGATCTTGATAACTCTCTTGATGTCAATATCTATATCTATACTATTATATAAAAATCTAATGGTGTCTGTCTGTATGTGTGTTACTAATAGGTGCAAAAACTAATGAACCAACTGGGCTTAAATTTTACAAAAATATAGCTAATATACCAAGGACCATTATAGGACTATTCACATTTCGATACTGACCATAGGCTTTGCCCCTTTGGCTTTATAAGTTCTGAGGTGAACATTTTAAAAGTAAATATTGATTGGTCTCCATGGATGCAATTAGAACACTAATAATGTTTGTTTACATTTGCTTTGACATTTCAATGTAAACAAGAAGAACACTGCTAAATTGAATAATTGAATATTTCACAATTTCAGACAGCTGATACAAAAAAGTTAAATATAATATTTTCCATAACTACCTATGAGGTAGGTTTATTTTAATGTAGCGTTTTATCATGGATTATTTATTCTAAAACTGTCAATGATTATAGAAAAAAAAGGTTCTATAAACTGTTGCTGTAAAAACTCTGGCTCTGCTTTGGATTTTTTAAAGCGTCTCAGTTATGAAAATAATGTTATTGATATGTTTTCATGGAAACAGTATAAAAATTACAAAGTATAGATGTTTTGTATGAATTTGGAGGCTACTTTAAATAAATTCGAACTGCTTAACATGTGTTAGATTAACTTAACAAAGAATAACATCAATAACTAAATTGTACGTCATTGATTTTTGTGTTCTAAAATCTGTTGTAGGCCTATATGTGTAACTATATTTAATTATCAAATGGTAATACAAAATACGCTTATTTTATCATAACATAGCTTTCAGTTCACATTTACTTTATTTGATAAATTTTTTATTTGTGTTTTGCCACACCACTGATTAAATTAAACCAAGAAAAATATCATAATACTAAGCAGTACACAGTGTTCTTTTGTTTCTAAATCAATGAAATATCTGTTACTATGTTTACTTAATGGTAAGTGTGAAAATTTAAAGGCAATGGACGATGGAACTGATTAAAAGAACTGGTTTGTATATTAAGTTGTTTGTTGATATTTATGTAGAGTAGAATCAGAGATGCAATGAAAAATATAGGCCTAATGTACTGCATTTGCTATCATATTTTTTAGTCCTCGACGCTATGATAATCATATTAGTTTTGTCTGCTGTCTTTAATGCTAAATTATTTATTTAAATTTTTTTATAGTATAACTTAGATATAGTTTCATTAATATTTCAAAAGACTGTATTGATAAGGCTCAACAATACTTCTAAAGTTTATAACAGCTGACTTAGTTTTGCTAATGATTTATAGTGAGTGAAGAAACTGAGGATGGAAGGATTTGTTATTTAATATGAAGAAGAGTGAAATAAAAAAAATCCATTTAAATTTAATAATTAGTATTTTTGCAATTTCAAAATTGAAATTTAAAATGTAAATTATAAATAAAAAGATATGTAATTAAGGGAGATGAAGGTAAATAGTATGTGAAAGTTCTATTCGAAGATTTGGTCAGTTTTTCTCACATCAGCCTACACAAGATTTAAAATTAATCAAAACCAAAATGGTGGTATCCACTACTTACCAGATTTAAAAGTCATAACTTAAACGTTTCTATTAAGGCCATAAAAGTTGAATTTTGTTTCTAAAAGTGTTGGCGGATGTGTAACTATTATATGCAACAGATGTAAAGATTAAAATGTTTCTATTTTGTGTCCTCTTCCCGTTGCAAAGCACGGGTACAACAGCTAGTATACAACTAAAAATATCTGTAAATTTCTTTTGATGTTTTCATGATATATATGCAATGCAATAACTTTTGAGTAACTTTAAGTAGTTTTTAAGTAACTTTTGAACATTAAAAATAGATGTTAACAACAAATTTTTCGATGAAACTCTTTACAAAAATCTGAAGGGCAGGTCCAGAATTGATGGCCTCTCAAGTCCGTAAATTGCATCTGTGATGTTTTTTAGTAAGTTCAACGCTAAATGATTATCAGTTAACTTAACTTATCCAATCAATAGTGTTAATTAATACTTATGAAGTCAAACGGAACGGAACGGGGTGAAGCCCGTGGGTAACTGCTAGCAGTCTAGTTGATATAAAACACGTTTTTAAAAATAATTCGTTTGATGCTTTAAATGCAAATGTTAGGCATTTATTTTATGAGTTATTTAACTTTTCATACAACAGATCTATGGGACATAACAATAAATTATTCTCTTTAGCGTTCCTTTAGCGAAGCACGGGTATGGCGGCTAGCTATAGTACGCTCTATTTCGCAACGGGTACACAAGTTCAGAATACATTTAATTGGTTGATGTAATAATTAAGTCAATAGCCCAAAAGTAAACTCATCCGATTTATTGTGCATCCTATGTTCAATTGTGTTTTGGATTTTGTCACATAACCTGAAAACCAGTCAAACGGTTACATGGAAATTGTGGGAAATTTCGCTCTACAAGTGCCTGCTGCATCCCTGCATTTATCCCACTGAGCTAGATTTATCCAACAGTGTTGTCATATTGAGGGAGTAACACTAAATTCAGGGGCGTAATCTCGCTGAATAAAATTAAAAGTCTGCAGCAACACCTATTTCAAATTTTAAAGACAGCTTTGTCTGGAGCTCCGTTTTTATATATTCTACTACTTTATTTAACTTATGGATTTTATTTTGTACCTTTCATATGTGTTATATTTAGCTAATAATCTTAACATATAAAAGTAAAAGCCCTCACTCAATGATTCATTACTAATCCAACTTCCAGACTAGCTAGAACGTTGAAATTTGGTGTACTGATTCTTCAGGCATTAAATAGGAAAACTAAGTAGTTTTTATCCTGATCCGACTTTTGGGTTCCACCCAAGTGGTTCTGGAGTTTCCTTGTTAACCTTATAAGTATCTATATTATTAAAAGACTTTG